TGGAATATATAATTGAGAAGTTCACACTACATTGTAAAAATATAAGAAGTATGTAACCAAATATATATATATATATATATATATATATATATGGGTCAGGATCATTTTACAGTGTAAGTTACACTCTCAATCTTGACCATTGATCCCATTTATATCTAAGGGCTCTAATTTTTTAGTAATGTGAGTCATTGGATACAAGTGGATCAATGCTCAAGATTGAGTGTAAGACTTCTAACTCTTACACTGGTGTAAGAATATCCTGCCCCTATATGTATATATATATATAAAAGAAGTAGTTTTTACCCAAAATATATATATTAGTGCTAAAAAATGGGGAATGAACAAGAGCTAGTTGTTTAAACACTCTATTCTTTGTCTTGTTCACCTCTACTTAATTATATAATTAAAAAAGTAATTGACCAATGACCATTTCATTCAATCGATGCCAAAACCCTGCAGGCGGATACTCATATCTAATCCATGTCTCTGTGGCTTAATTATGTCAAGGTTCCACTTCCACCTTAACAAATGCTTTATTTATCAACTGCCCAGAATTATTGAACTATAAATGTTTCGGTGAATGCTGTGCGAGCTAATCAGAAACCTTCAACTCTGAACCCCTACCCACCTCATACTTTTTAATACGCGAACGGCACGGGACAGAAACGGAATAAAGAACGCGAGACACACGGATACCACACAAATGGCAATGTGGGTTTATCCATTCGAGTCATCGTGAGTCAACAAAAAAAATAAACAGAAAGGGATGGTCTGTTTTATAGAATGAGTTGAAAATAGCAACCCATTCTATCTTTCCATAGGTTTGCAATTCAGCTTGTTTAAAATTGAACCAAAATTTGTTTGTGCGAGTCCTTGAATTGATCCACCTAACATAACATTAAATAAAATTTAGAATAAGGGTGACCGTCACTTCTTCTTGTCCCGTTCATAATTTATGAACTATATGAGATGCATCAAATCATCAATAGCACTTGCACTCTTAACTCTATGTGATTCAGATCCGCAAAAATTGGTACTTTTGGTGTATTTAAAGAACTAATTTAACATATTTCAAAAAAAAAAAAAAAAACTAATTTAAGCCAAGAGCTTAAACTAATGGGTTAGAACTTTTTTAATAGTTTATTGTAAAGAACCTTGGAATACACCACCCCAAAAGCTAGCTCAAAGGGTGGAAGTGCCCAAGACCTTATAAAGGCTATATTAGTTGCTCATCCAATCAATGTGAGACTATATATCTCAACACGCCCCCTCACGCAATAGCCTTTTTAGACTAGAAGCGTGGAATTGCACAGGCCCAATTTTTGGTTTACCTTTTGTGCTTTTTTTTTTTTTTTTTAATTCCACTTTAAAGTGGGAGGCGGTGAGGGCTCAAGCTCTGATACCATGTAAAGAAGCTTGGGATACACCACCCCAAAAGCTAGCTCAAAGGGTGGAAGTGCCCAAGGCCTTATAAAGGCTATATTAGTTGCCCATCCAATCAATGTGAGACTATATATCTCAACATTTATACTATTCTCTAATAAGAATGATGCATCATGTTACCTTGAGTCCACAGGGCATGAAGGGTAGATAATGCACACACTCACTTACCTGTGCTAAAAAATCTCACAAGACTTAATTAATTATTGATTAAATAGGGGACAATGAGGATCGAACTCATGATGTCAAAGCTCTTATACCATGTAAAAAACCAATTCACCAAAAGCTTAAGCTGGTGGGTGAGGGCTTAAGATTTTGAGTTGAATTGGTTATTTACATGGTATCAGAGCATCAGTGTCATAGTTCGATCCTCACGCCTCTCATTTAATTAATAAATAATTAAATATTATGGAGTTTGTTAAGCACAGGTGGGTGGGTCTGTACATTGTCCACCCTTCAAGCTCAATTGGCTCTTGTGTGAGGGGGCGTGTTAGAGAAATAGAAAACCATTAATGTAGTTTCATCCAACAACTTAAGCTTTTGGGTGAGATGGTTGTTTTACATGATATCAAAGCTTCGGTGTCACAGGTTCAATCCTCACCGTCCTTCTTTATCTTGTGAAATTTTCTTTGCACATGTATATGAGCTTTATCCACCTTTCAGGGGGCACTTGTGTCATGGGACATGTTAGAGAATAGTAATTAATTATCAATTAAATGAGGGGCTATGAAGATCAAGACTTAATTATTTATTAATTAAATGTGGGGCGTAAGGATCAAACGTAATTAATTATCAATTAAATGGGGGGCGATAAAGATCCAGACTTAATTATTTATTAATTAAATGTGGGACGTAAGGATCGAACTCGTGAAAGCGAGACTCTAATATTGTATAAAAAATTAATTCAACCAAAAAATTTAAACAGATGGGGTAAGAGCTTTTTTAATTAATTTATACTATTCTCAAACGGTGTACAAGCTATGTTGTGATAATTCCCTCTTTAGAACTGTCTATAAAAGCCTTCTTGCTTGTTCCTATTCCCTTCACAAATACTAATTGTTACTTGACCCTTGTTTTTTATCACATGGCATTCTCCTTCTCCTCTATTGGCTTCTTCCTCTCCAGCTTAATGTTTTGCTTTATTGCTCTTCTCTGCTCCGAATCTTTGGGAGCTGAAGCTTGGGGCAGGCCCATTAGACCCATCTCTTCTCTTATTAACAAAAAACTTTTTAATACCATTTTCCTACACAAAGATGACAATGCATGCCATGCCAAAGACTTCTACACATACAAGTCCTTCATCCATGCATCCAAAAGCTTCCCTGAATTTGGCACTACCGGTTGCTTAAACACACGTAAGCGTGAGATTGCTGCATTTCTTGCTCAGATTTCTCATGAAACCACAGGTGGGTGGGCTACTGCACCTGACGGGCCATATGCTTGGGGCTTGTGTTACAAGGAAGAAGCTAATCCTCAGAGTAACTACTGTGATTCTACTAACAAAGAATGGCCTTGCTACCCAGGCAAAAGTTACAAGGGAAGAGGACCCATTCAACTTTCTTGGTATACACAAACAAACAAACAAACAACGTTTGCATATTGTTATTATTATTTGTTTATTACAAACACACACAATATATAGATGTATGGGAAATGATCAGTTTATAAATTTTTTTTTATAAATTACACTAAATATGATCGGTCATACACTCTTGATTGAAGTATGATCGGTCATACTTAGTGTAGTTTGTAAATATAACTTTCTCTTAAATATATATATGTGTATAATTCTAACAAGCCTTACACATTAGTATCAAATTTTATGCAGGAACTACAACTATGCGCCAGCAGGGAAGGCCTTGGGATTTGATGGGCTGAGGAATCCGGAGATTGTGTCGAACAATTCTGTGATTGCCTTTAAAACTGCTCTCTGGTTTTGGATGACAGAGCCAAAGCCAAGGCCTTCTTGCCACAATGTGATGGTTGAAAAATATGTGCCAACACAAGCTGACATATCAGCTAATCGAACAACTGGTTATGGCTTGGTGACTAACATAATCAATGGTGGACTTGAATGTGGAATTCCTGGTGATGGAAGAGTGAGTGATCGGATTGGATTTTTTGAGAGATATGCCAAGTTGTTCAACGTGGATACTGGACCTAACTTGGATTGTGCATATCAAAAATCCTTCTAACTCTTTGTTTTTGTGCAATTTCTTTTTTCCTGAGACAAAACTTTAATAATGTACTCAAAGCATATACCTGCTTGATGGCATTTTCCTTCTGTAATTTATCATTACAAGTTGATGAATAAAAAGTTTTATATTCCTTTTGTTCATTAAGTGCCACCGTTACTAGATGATACTATCATTTATGGCAAAAAAATTAAATAAAAATTAAAAAGATGAAAATGAGAAACGACAGAGATTATACGTCATTCTACATTATCTATTTCTCTATCTTATATGATAAAGTGATAGTCCGATATATTTGGATCTATCGTACCGTCGTTCGCAGTTGGACGCAAAAGATATCAGAATTTCCATTCCAGTTTGGACATGGCACCTTACGAGACTTTGTATGGCGGCAGTGTAGATCACCTACTTGTTAAACTGAGGTTGGAGAGAGGCAAATGATTGGGCCAGATTTGGTACAAGACACTTCTAATCAGATAAAACTGACCAGGGATAAATTGAAACAGGCACAGAATCGCCAGAAGAGCTATTATGATAATAAGCATCGACCCCTGGAGTTTACAGAGGGTGAGCATGTCTTTGTGAGGTTGTCACTTGTGACAGGTGTGGGGCGTGCTCTTGGAGTAAGGAAGCTAAGTCCTAGGTTTATTGGTCCCTGTAAGATAATAAAGAGAGTGGGACCGGTTGCTTATGAGCTTGCCTTACCTCCACAGTTATCCGGTATTCATGATGTATTCCACGTGACGCAGCTTCGGAGAAATATTCAGGATGAATCCCATGTTGTGCAGCCTATTGAGGTTCAAATAAAGGAAAATCTTAAGACTCCTGTGAAGCCGTGGAGAGTTATTGATAGAGATGAAAGAAAACTGAGAAATAAGGCGATTCCGATGATCAAGATTCAATGGGAAGGCAGGACGCCCGAGGAGGCTACTTGGGAGCGTGAGGATGAGATCCTACGGCTATATCTTGAGTTTGTTTCCAGGTATGATCCTAATTTTGGGGACAAAATCCTAAAAAGGTGGGGTGAGTATAATAACCCTCATATGTAGTATGGATTTAATAATTTTAATCATGTTATTGAGGAATAATTATAAGAAAAGTAGAAGAAAAAGAAATAAAGTCACCTTTGGTGAAAAAGGAGTTAAAATGACAGTTAAGGGGTAAAAATGCAGGTAAATAAAGTTACCCCAAGTGAAAAGTAAAATTATAAATATTACCATAAAAATATTCTGGACTAGTGTACAACGTTGGAATGAGAGTTTAGTGAGCGGGATAGATAAACTTATACCTACTTGAATTATTTAAACTCGTTTAAAAGGAAAGAACCACGTTCTCTCTCTTAATTCATTTTCATTCTCGTCGACTTCCTGTCTCTCTCAACCGAAGATATGTATCTCATTTTTCTTCTTCTCGTGCTTCCATAAATCCTTGTGAAACAAGAGGATCCACCCACTAATCTTCATCTTCTTCATATCTCTATCATCCTCCTCCATTAATGAGTTGTTGTGAGAGAAAATAGAACCCATTTGGTGAAGTCATTTTCAGATTTGAGCTAAGGGAAGAAGTATAGTTGAGATAGAAAGCTTGGGTTGCTTCTCTTTGGGCTGATTGAAGCTTCAAAGGTAATTATTTCAACCCCCCCTCTTGTGTTTTTCGAGAAAATGCATGATTTAGGGTTGTATAAATTGAGATTAAATGGTATGAGTAGTTGGAGGATGATTTGTAGGTGAGTCCCTTTGTTAAATATGCTTGGGATTGGTTCGCGTAAAAGGAAAAATTATGAAATAACCGTTTAGGACACTTTGATAAATTGGACTAAAAATCAAGTGTAGGTTTGTTGTATGTGTAGGCTTGAAAATTAAGCGTGATAGACTGGTATATAGGAATACTGATTGTCTTCACATATTAGAACTAGGTTGTGACTTTGTGAAAGATCGTGACTCTGTGGACACGAGAATTATTGGAGGACTTTGCTTGCGAGGTAAGCTTTCGGTCCTTGGGGTTAATCCCCCGTTTGTTCCACCAAACTCCGAGGGAGGTTGGTAGTTTGATATGGTATGTGAAAATGATATTTTATGTTGCATGTATATGTATGTATGTCTGTGTGCCACACAAGATGATGTTTCTTTGTGTGAGGCATAAGACAGTGTATCCTTATGCATAGTATGAGACGGTGTTTCCTCATACGGTATGTTGCAAGACGGTGTTTCCTTGCGTAATACATACTTGTTACATTCTCTGGCCAGTAGGATTATATTATTGCACACTGCATTGTCATACATATTCTGATGCATGCATGTATTTTTATACTGTGTTTATACCAGAAGTGAACTTAGGGGTGGAGGAGCCCTTCAAGGGTCCCTTGCTTACTGAGGTAATTATATTATCTCACCCCGCGTTATGAGGATTACCATTTCAGGTACAGGAGCTGATGGTGCTGAGGCATCGCGTGGCAAGAGACCAGATGAAAGATACTACTTGACATGATTGTCAGGGTCTTACGGATATTTAGATTTGTACATGACATACTTTATTTTGGGTTGTATGTGCCATGTATTTTTTGAGAGCATAGGAGATGTCTATGCCATGTTGATAATCTGTATATACTATTAGTGATGCATGCTCAGGTCTATGTTACTTATTTAATTGCATCTCTTTTGTTTATTTGATGTAATTATATAAGTAACATCATGGACATTATTTTGAGATAGTATGATTATGAGATAGCCTAGGCCATGGATGGCTGGGCAATATGTTTTATCTATGCTGTGATATGCCTGAGTTATATTAAACTGTCAATCAGGTTGAAATTATCATAGTGGAAATTATCATAGTGGAAATTATCCTCAGAGGTCCAAAATACAGAGGAAATGTTGTCCGTTTTATTTTGGCCATGGAAGTAAAAAGGTTTGCAATACATAAGGAAAAAGAGAAAAATTTATTCAGTTAGCTTCCGCATTAATTAAGTTGAGCATTCTGCGCTTATTAACCGACTGCAGACAGGACGTTACAATTAGTTATAGGAAAAAAAACTCAATAAAAATTAAGGGCTTGTTCAAAATGGTGATAAATGTGGACATGACAACAGAGTAAAAAAGGGGAAAACATAGGACACCAAAAAAAAAAGGGGGAAAACAAAATAAGATAAGAAATAGGTCAAGTGTGGAGGTGTCTTACGTCACCCGTGATAGTGTTGGGGTCTAAAAGATTAAGTAATGACAAAATAAAACAAGTTCCGGTATAAAAGATATTACAATAGGCGATGGTTATTTGATTTGCATACATTAGCAAGTAAAAATGAAAAAAATAAAAAAATCGGGTACTAAAAGATTATCAACTCATGGACCATAATATAATCGTTCAAATCCCTCAAGATTAACTAGAGACAAATGTCACTTTTACCTCTTGGATAGAATAAAACTCATGTTTCTTCACAAATTAAACAGAAAATAATATAGCTCCAAGAGGATAAATTAGTTGGGACTTTAGAAAACATGAACTTCCAACAAAGGAACTTGTTTGTCAATCAGCTCAAAGATGCAAACATCTCCAGCTCGCAATTTACTCTCTGTTGCAAACAAAGACCAACCAGAAGAGAAGCGGTTAAATGTACCGTAATTGATCCACTTCACAGGCCACGATCTTTTCCCAAGCTGAATTATCACATTCTGCTCCTTGCTCTCATTATTTACGAACTTCGTTACATTCTGCATAATGTAATATCACTGCAACAGTTAGAAGTTTTCATAACATAACCTAGAGTTTATGAATGTATTTGTTGTTTTGACCCTACCACTACATGAGCTGACAGATGAGCTGGCTTTATGAACATCGTGAAAAAAGGATCGTATGAGACGAATTTTTTAGCTACTTCCTGAGCTCTATCTTCCTTGGGCCAATTCGACGATGAAGTTCTTTGAGTAGTTCTCACACCTGCGGAATGATAACGAAAAGAAACAAGTCAAAGCCAATTAAAGAGATTTCATATGGAGCATCTTGAAAATTGAATTTATTGGCTTCAACTCAGTTTTTTTTTTTGGGTAAATAACTAAGGTTTTTTTGATATATAGCAGAAAGAAACTAAGAAATTTGACCCCTCGTGATTTTGAAAATGTTAAAAGTGCTATGCTGCAAAGAATATCTTCTTTGGGGACACATATACTCATTGGTGACGTAATTCAAAGAGCCATTGTGGAAAACATAAACCAGTGAACCACCCACAAATGTTGAACGGAAAGCCTAAGAGAAGATATCAGCAAGCAAAATCAGTTAAAAGGGAAATCAAATCATGAAATCCATACCTTTCAGTTGGTGCTTGACGGATTTTTGAAACTTTGTCCCTTGATCAGATTCATCACCTGCATGCAACTTTTGCTTATTGGAGCTAATTTCCATATTCTTATGAGTCCCATATTTCATTTTCTTACGAGATGGAGCAGAAAACAGTGGTGACTTTGGACTGGTCTTTTTTTTTTGAGGGATTCCCCCCAAAATTTTAAATGATTCATCGTCACTCTGGTTATGATCATCCTTTTCGTCACAATTGTCATTGGAAGGATAGTCTATTTCTAGAGCACTCTGGTCAAGTATGAGTACATCAAACCGTGAAGTACCTTCATATTTAAACAAAACCAAATAACCATGATCTAGAGAGTAATTTTCAACGAATTCTTTCCAACCCTTTTCGAACCAAACCTCATCGTTCTGTTTTGTCCAATACATTTTCCATTCAGTGCCATCTGGAGGCTTGATAAACACTGGATTTGACAAACCATCTCCATAACTCCTTGTAAACTTCTTGGGTAATTTCTGCAAAGAACCTGTAGGTTAGTATGCCAAACAAATGTTCATATTCCTATCAGAAATATAACAGTAATACTTGTTTTTCCGAATCAAATCTCTAGTGCTGATATATATATATCTACATGTAATTGATTTACAAAGACAGGATAACAACAATGGCAAAAAATACTTACAAGTCTTTCAATATTAGTTTTAAGAATAATCTTGAAAAAATGAATAGGCAGGATTGCATTTCGCCGGCCAAAATGAGTAGCCATGGATAGAATTGAAGTTGACAAGTTTTGTCACTCTGGATACCAGAAACAAGGAAGCTATCTATCTACTGCTTCCAATATGCCCACCTAAGTAAACGCTGGTAACTCAGAGCAAGTGAAGATTCGGTCTCAACTTCATAATTGATTCAGAGTCGTACTCACGAGACAAGTATGCATAATGCACTTACGATCATAATTAAGCTACCTGCCTTGTACCGGAGGCTAGGTATCAGAATACAACAACCCACCCAGCTAACTAATGCATAATGCAGAAAACAAGTTAAGATTTTCTTTGGTGATTCGGTTTTGGAAAAAAGCAAGAGGGTACCGATTTCCCACTTCGTCATGTCTGCATATATCCCATAAACAGAAATAAGAAAAAATAAATATGCAATCTTTATCGACGAAAACACGCAACCCAAACAGGAACTAATAATGAAAAGCATACTCTTGTCATCACATGACACAGGACAGGAGCAGCAAAGAAGAACAAAAGAGAAAATAATGTTTTGGTGAAAACTCATAAAAACAGAACTGTGATGTCATGACTGTGATATTTTCTTATACTTCTGGACACGTTCGGTATTCTAACAAGACTAAAAAAAAATTAAAAATTAATGGATACTATAAATTTAACTTTATTTTTTTCAAAATTATTAAATATTAAATATAATATACACTATATAAATTAAAATATAGTTTAATATCAAAATGTGTCGTCAAAATTTAACATTTTTTTGAATTAACGTATCAGAATATCGTGTACCGTATTCCATACCAGTGTCAATGCAACATAACTTACAAGGGTTAGCGGATTCAAAATCATAACCCAACCCGACGCGATGAGTTAGACCATTTTGCCGACCCTTAATAAAATACTAATACCGATAAGCTAAAAGAAAAAAAAATTAATTTAGAATTTTGTTTTTTAATGATACTATTGATGGTTTATTATTCCTCATGTAGTAAGAGATAAATTTATCTTCTACATACACATAAAAGTATGTGAAACATTAAACCCTATTATTGATAGACTTAGGTTTATAAATAACAGGAAAGGTGTTTTTACCCCAACTAGAGATAAAATTATTTGTGTGTAGGAGATATCAAAAATATTTATATATATATGTAAGAAATAATTTTATCTCCTACAATGTAAGAAATATTAAACCCTATTATTGATAGACTTAGGTTGATAAATAACGAGAAAAGTGTTTTTACCCCAACTAAAGATAAAATTATTTTCAACTGCGGGTCCAGGATTAAAATTTTAAATTCCTTTTAAAAATGGTTCCATCCAAAGCTATATACTGACGAGAGACCGATAGCAAACAAGTATCGCGAGGGAGAGGTAAAAATGACTTTGAAAAAATAGTCAAATAGTACTTGAAATTGTCATGAGAAATACATATAAGAGAAGATCAAACACATATTATCACCCCATCCATTCAACCTATTTACACTTTAACTCCGGCTTCATGCATTAGAGACTTACATATATGGTTTTGCAATTGGGTATTCGGAGCATATGAATGAAGTAAAGTTTTCTTCCCTTTGTCTTCTCTCTTAGGAGGCGTTTGGTACAGGAGAAATTTTTATTTGTCCGGGAATCTCGATTTTCAAAAATATGAATTTTACATTCAGTTTACGATAATATCTGAAAATTTAAAATTTTAAAAATTTTAATTTCCCGAAAATCTTGGAATAATCCGTGTACCAAACGGCCCCTTAATGTATGTAGATGCGTTAAGTAAAATGACAACTTTCGTCATTTCGTGGAAAGAGAGAGCGCAATTGTAAAGGTAAATGTCAGGTAAAATCATAAAACAGTAGAATATTCATTAATCGATCCAAACTGTGTAATTAAATCGAAAAATTAATAACTGAATTAATTAAAAATCAAAAACCAAAAAAAACTCGCATATTTTAATTCGATTGGATCGATTTTTAATTTAATTGGTAAAAATTGATCAAATCTAAACTGATCCAATATATTATACATTTATTATTTTTTAAAGATGGTGACTTGGAATCTCATTTATTTGCAGACTTAGAATCTTGGATGTTATTGATAACAAACAATCTTTTTTCAGTTTTTTATTGTCTATTAATCTATTTTAACTCTTCGTGAGTTTTAAGACTTATTTTAGTTTGAAGACTTGAAATCTTTATTTTGATTTAGCTAGTGATTTGTATAGCTGTAACATCCCAAGCGCTTACGAGGGCGGGGAGTGATCGCCGGTGCAAAGAGACATGGACAAGGAGCAACTCCTGACAGGCTTCCAACAGGGGGTTACATGCATGAATGAATCGAATTGACACCCGAAAAAGAGCAATTTCAAAGGCTGTGCAGGTATAAGACTGCACTGTTTGGGATAACTTATAAGAATTGATTGGTACTACCTATACTAACAAGATGCATCTTCTTTTCGGTAGTCCAGAACAGAAGAACTCCATAGTTAAGCGTGCTTGAATTGGGGCAATTCTGGGATGGGTGACCTCCTGGGAAGTTTTCCGTCGCACACTGAAAAGTCTCGTGTTAGTATGTGGGGATAGTCGTTGATCCTTGCAAGTTTCCAGGCGTTACAAGTGGTATCAGAGCAGGGCCTCTCTTCCAGTACGGTGTGGTTCGAGGACGAACCAGGTGGAAGCTGGTGGGCATGTAACATCCTGAGCGCTGACGAGGGCGGGGAGTGATCGCCGGTGCGAAAGGGCATGGACAAGGAGCGGCTCCTGACAGGCTTCCAGCGGGGGGTTACATGAACGAAAGAATCGAATCGACACCCGAAAGAGAGGGATTCCAAAGACTGTGCAGGCATGAGACTGCACAGTTTGAGATAGCTTATAAGAATTAATTGATACTACCTATACAAACAAGATGCATCTGCTTTTCGGTAGCCCGAAATGGAAGAACTCTGTAGTTAAGTGTGCTTGACTTGGAGCAATTCTGGGATGGGTGACCTCCTGAGAAGTTTTTCCTGGAAGTGTGCGAGTGAGGAAAAAGCACACTGAAAAGTCTCGTGTTAGTATATAGGGATAGTCGTTGATTCTTGAAGCGGCCGGACGTTACAAGAAATACAAAAGGAGGTCAAATTGCCCTGTTTTGGTGCTTGCTCCAGAACTACAGCGCTCTTAGCGTCAAGTTCATGCTATGAGTGTCAACCATCAATAGGTTTGACGCTATGAGCGTGAGACTCACGCTATGAGCGTCAACCTCTCTGACTTCTCACGCTATTAGCGTGAGACTCCGCGCTGACGAGAGCGGGGAGTGATTGCCGGTGCAAAGAGGCATGGACAAGGAGCGGCTCCTGACAGGCTTCCAGCGGGGGGTTACATGCATGAATGAATTGAATCGACACCCGAAAGAATTAACGTGTCAAAATTTTAGAATTAACGTGTCAGCATGTCGTGTCTCGTATTTCGTGTCCTGTATCGGTGCAACATAACATATGATAATTGTAATTATTTATTAAAAATTGATAATCAATTACAGTCGTTTTATTGACATAAATCAATAGATTGAGTGAATTTTTATTTTTTACTTTTATAATGGTATAAATTAATAATGTCCCTAGTCATGAATAACTTAAGCTTAAGCTGGGGCGGTTGGATACCTAAATAAAAAGATCATGAATATACTTTCTCTAAGGGCACAGGAACTAACAGCCAATAACAAAATAATCTTGCTTGGACCGGTTAGAGCCACATCTACCATAGCCCTCCATAACATACAAGTCCTCTTCACTAGCGATGTAAATAGGCTGAGTTAAGTTAGGCTTTAATTTAAATGGGTTAGACTTGTGTAAAAAATATTATGTCTTGCCTAACCTGTTAACCTGTTAACCATTCCTCTTCCCGACATGTACAAAAAAACCTATGATTTATTTTTTAAATAGGTTTTTTTAAAAGTCTAGACCTGTCCTATTTTACTATTTATAATAGGCCAAGTCTGACCTAATATAGGCTAGACTATAGACTCGTGTAGCCCAGCTTAGCTCATTTACACCTCTACCCATCACAAATCCAAGATGGAATAATTCAGTCCTTTTGGGTCCGTGAATGAAATTAAGCCAGAAATCCTTGGAAATACTGCAATCCCTGAGCAGATGTAAAATGTGTTTCCACATTAGATCTACACCCTTAGCAAATGGGAGCATATTAAAACACCTACTGGTACGACTTCTCGTATGAAGTAGCAGGCCCCACGAAGGTTTTCACCTTCTAAAGGGCATTTTCATTGCCAAATGGTCTTCCAAAAATGCTATTTTGTTAGATTGTTCGAATCTATTAGGAGGTGGTGATACACAATCTTAATAATTACATCTATTTATCAACCGATTCAAACAAGAGGGACCCAACCGAAAAACTAATAATTGAATTATTCGAAAAAGGCATATTTCAATTGAATTGGATCAGTTTTTCATTTGATTGATGAAAATCGATTCAATTCAAACTGATCCAATGTATTATATATTTATTATTTTTGACTTAGAATCTTGGATATTATTGATAGCAAACTACGTTGTTTTAGTTTTTTATTGTCAATTATTCTATTATGGTTGTGTGAATGAGATTTCAGGCTTTTCAAAAAATTAAAAATCAATATAATTTTAATCGAATAAAATTGGATTGAATTTAATCGGATTTGAAAAAAAAATTCAAATTGAATGAATGATTAAAGAATCAAACCAAAGAAATTGGATCAAATAATTTTTATTTTAAAATCAATTTAATTCAGACCCCAAACACCCTTATTTTTTCTTAAATCCACCGTCCAATAATTATAATATTATTAAATACTTTAACCATCTGTAATCTTAAATTATTTTACCTGGTCCTTTCCTGGAAAAAATTTAAAATGTGTTGGGTGTTCCCTCTCACAAAGACAAATTCCTTTTTCCATTTTTATCTAAATTTTTTTCACATTTTTCCTTTCCGGCCTCCTATTTGTGAGAAGAGATCACAAAAAAATGGTGATCCAGGTACACCAAAAATAATCTCCCGCGCCCGTATGTACCTTACCGTTACTCTATTTCAAGGCAAAATACATAAAATAAATAAATAAACTGTTTCATATTTTCATATGCTCAACATACTAATATGTCTGTCCCTTCCTTGGTCCTTACTCTTCGGACACACCTGTTTCAACCATACTTCCAATATACCTTCGTAAATTGTTGTGCATTTTTCTTTTGGTTAGTTGGTTTTCTACGTGGGGATGGAGGAATAGCGTTTTAACTCTTTAACAATTGAGGGAAATCAAGTCGGCAAAGAGAAAAGCTTAAGGTTAAAAGTTGACACCTAGAAAGAAAGTAAAGTCCGTAGCTTATTAGAGGTAAGATTGTACAACGCTATTCTTTGCGATTTTCTTCAAAGAAAGAACTGAGCGAGCTATGCATATACATCTATAACTTTCTGCATACTTCACTACTTAGTAGAGTAACATTTTTCTAAGTTTTCTGATCAGTGATCGGTGACCCCAGTATTGAGTCTCACTCCAAAGGACAAAATTTGAAATCACTGGTGGGAGAAAGAGACCCTGCATGTCCTTTACATTTAACACCCGAATGTGTCTACCCTGGTGATCTTCAACCTCTTTACAGTAGATAAGAACATCCTACACGAACAAAAGAGCAAGAACATTAATGCACAAAAAGGGAAGATGATGTGTTCCTCAGGGACAGACAAAGTAATTAACTCACTCCCAAGGGACATCCCCAACCATGACCAAATCCCCTTCTTCGTCTTCATAAGTTAGCACATGGCATCTCTCTGGTTGCACTCCGTTCATCTCTGTTCCCCCTGTTCAAAACACACCACATTCCATTGTTATTTCGCTGATGAAGAAACAAAAACATCCCAAAAATCCAAACAGCACTATGAGGGCATATAGCAATAGACTTTACATAGAATGGTAGTGTCGAACATGTGTTCAAGAGTCTTTACTAACTCATTGTAGCCATCATGAGCTAGTATATTGAGTTTTCTTCCAATTGGAATGCCTTCCATGTACACCTTCACAAAGAAGCTGCTATGATCGCTGCAATCATTTACTTCAATAGCTTGTGAACTGCTTAATAGTTGGTGGATTGGTTGACATAGCCCCCTAATATGAGAATGACAAAAATCAACACATATATATGGCATAAGTTTCTTCGAGGTTAATTCGTGATTATATTATGGGTTGGAAAATTATGAACACAAACCTTGAAATAGGAGAGCCAACATGTTGAGTGGTGGAAATGCTCAGTCCAAGCCTAAGATCTGTAGGAAGTTCTTCTGTGTTGAGCTGTGTGAGAGATGATGCAGTGGAAATTACTAGGTGGTGGTTGCTGCTGCTGCTTATAGAAGAAGAGGAAGAACTAGTTGCTTTTCCCATTTTGGAACTAGCTAGATGACACACCAAGCCGCCACCTTAAGGCCTTAAATAAACAAAGAAATAGATCATGTCCTTTTTGTTTTCCATGAATACAAAAAGGCCCTCTTTCTCTTTTTCTTTTTCTTTTTCTTTCTTCCATGTAATTAGTAGACCTGAAATGTTGTCATGTCATGGTAACCGACAAGTACACGTGTCAATAAGAAAAATCCAACTTGGCATCCATACTATGACATGTTCTGAAAAGTTCATTTAGTTCAAGTGTTTTTAATTAGATTAGATTATCTCAAGTGTTTATTATGCATGTAAAATTGTTTCTTTTAAAAATAGAATGGATTCTGTCATATTAAAATTTTATATGATTTGATTATATGAAATTTGTGTCTTTATTTTTTTTTTATTAATAATAATTAAAACCTACCTATTTAATATATATGGAAAAATAAATAAACACAAAATTTTACATGATCAAATCATGAAAAATTTTAATATGAAAAGATTCATTCTCAGTTAAAAAACACTTTATTTGGGGGAAATTTGAAGACAATGTTGGGAGTTAGTATAGAGACATGACATTAGTTGGACAACGCGTGTAGGCGGTAATATACTTATTATGCTTTGAGTTAGAGGGGAATGAACCTAGACTATAGACAATTCATGTGGAAATTCAGGTGGACAAGAGGACATTGATATCTGAAACCTTGTACACACAGGTAATATCCATTAATCGATGTTCAATGGATATAATCATCGTGTTGCGCATGAGGGACCTTGATTGCAGAGAACAAATATATAAATGTATTGGAACAAGTGATGCTACAAATACTAATGTATATCTGGAAACATATTGATGTGCTTCCTTGAAACTCTCTCTGAACAGCAGAAAAACCATCAAAAGACATGACAACATACTTATGAATTGAAGTTGCGCGCATTTATTACAGTTGCACTGAATCGAAATCACTACCTGACAAGTGTCTGTGCGCCATTTAACAAACTACAAAGCTTGCCATCATTTTTATTTGTTTCCCTCAATTTTTGGGGTAAGAAGTATCCATGCAATTTTGTGAATTTTGGTAATAGTTACTTTTAAGGCACTTGTTTATAAATATTTCTTTTATTTCATAATATTAGCTACTTTAGAGAAAAAAAAATTGTTTATTTTATTTTTCATTTTTTAGAAATTTTATCTTTATCTTTTGATATTCCTACTTTCTAAAATGAGAAAGAATATTAATAGAATAAAATGTTACTTTATTCAAATATAATTATATTTTCTTAAAATTAAAGATTTAATAAGTTTCTTAATTATTATAAAAAAATTAATATTTTAAAACAAAAGAAGTAAAAAATAATAACAAATATTAAATAAAATGTAAAATATTTTAAGTTTTTAATGTATTAAATGCTTATATTTTTATTTATTTTTTATTATTTTTTATTCTTTAAAGCTAAACCCTAATAAAAACTTCAATCAATTCAACATAAGTGTGATTTTAAAAGAAGGGTTGTGTGTTTACAGAAAAAAAAAGGGGTTGTACTAAAGAACGAACATCCGTATTATACATGGTTTTCTTATCTCACATGATTATTTTATTTTAATTTTACCAACAAAAATTATTACATCCCTTAAAAAAAAAGTCATCAAAGGCTGTAAACGCCAAGCACACAAACGCCTGGGTGTTTAACCTTGATTTTTTAGAGAATAAATTTAGTTTTATTTCATTTGTTATTTTAAAAAATTAAGTATTAATTTTTATAAACATTATTCTTGTGAAAATAAGATAACAATAAACATCAATGAAATATCAAATAGATTTCTTAATCTAAGCAACGAAATTTTAACAAAGATATTATCAATGGAAACGAATTAGCTCAGAGGCATACTCTATGAAGCACTGACACTTCAAAAATCCTAACGTGTCGTATTCGACACTTTTTGACACTTTCTGACACTCCAATACTTGTTGCAAAGACTCAAAAGGTTACGTTTTGAGTTCCAACTATTAGATTCATTAAATTACGATTACAATTTTATCGAGTTTAATATAAACATTTGAGATATATTATGTTTCTTTGCAAAATTGATGAATATTATAAGTTTAATTTTATTTTTTGTTAAATTATTAATATCAAAATTTAATATTTTTTAGAATTAAAACGTGTGGTGTCATGTGCAGATCCTGTATACTGGCAATAATCAAGCATAATCACAATTGTCGAACAATGTGACAAGTGTGTATCTGCTAATCACATTGTTAGTAAACACAGAAAAGAAAAGAACCAAAAGACGCTACTTGCTCCGACATGTTATATTCTTAGCTGCTTCTCCGTTCAACATGTAGCCCCCCACGTGTACAATTCCCGCGTCTAATGCAATTTTCTTCTGCCTAGTCAAATGTTGAATTTTTTACCACGTAGGTTCGGTTCACAAGTTGAAGAGGGAACAAGAACTTATATGCTTGGATCTAAAGAAACGGCGAATGCTAGATTGAAAAGGAGGTCTGATAATAAAATATTCAAACGGGAAAAAGAAAACAAATGTAAAATGTTCCCCACTACCCCAACCAAAAGGTTGCTTCGATTAGCCACCAATATGTCATTTGGTCCCAGAAAAGCATCGTGTAACCCACATTCCCCCTTTTGTTCAATAGCCCCCGTAGACGTGTCTCGCGATGTTAAGACCAAATCGTCCAACTTTTTTATCACCACTTTGTTTTTCAATGCTTGGCATCTTTGTCATCATTGTTTCCCACTTCAGTAATCGAGTTCCATTTCAAGTCGAATAGTTGAACAATAACTGGGGCATGACCCCCTTTTAATTTCTAATTTTCTGTCCTTTTTTAATTATTATTTTCTGAGATAAAAGCACTTATCTTGGTTACTATCTGATAGGGCACCCTCGACACATCATCCCAAGGCAACAACATCAGACAATTTCCCCCAAGGAACAGCCCCTTAAATCTAGTATCTTTGAGAGTAGCTTTAGCAATATCTTGGAAATCAAAATGGCCAAATAAGAACAGTGGAATAGTATGAGGCCAGAGGCTCACATCAAATACAACTGGATCCTTGGCATTTGGGTTTATAAGAATTTTTCTCAAATCTCCAACTACTTCAACAAGTTCACTATCCATTTCATCAGCCATTTAAGAAGATGCTTTAGGAATTAGTATGAATTAGAAAAAACAAACCAATCAAATAATGACAGACACAAATGGAACTTGTTTGAATATAATAAAGTAATCACACGCAGATAAAAAAAATTTTATCACCGAAGCCTATAACTGTATAACATTTGATCCGATACAAGTATATGAAGTCAAATCGCAGATGCCTAAAACCCAGAAAAACCAATTATATATAAACATTTAAAAAAGCCCAGTAGTCAAGATGATGAATGGTTCTTTACACTATCCAACTAGTTTCCCAAAAGAACTAGTTCTCGTTCACCCAATAAGGCAACACAATAGATCAAACAATTGCATCCATATCAACAAATTTTCATGCTTCATGGAGCAGTTACCAAATCTTCCATAAGATTCCTGGATTGGGAGCCCCTCTAATGTAATTCAAGAATAGAACCCTTCCAGGTGGAGCCCGATTAGAGAAAAGTGATGAGCTATATAATATATATTGTTCCTGTCAAACCAGAAAACATTAGGTCATTTTCCTCATTATCAAACCAGCAAAAGCACTGCAACACATTTTACAGTCCCCAACTCAAAACTTGGGTGGTAACTAATTTAAAAGCATAAGGGAATTTAAGTCCAATAAGCCTCGGCTTTTGTTTCAATATATTAATTTCTAACCTAAGGTTTCATTTCCAGTCCTTAGGTGCGTGGATGCAATTGAACGAATCCCTTCAGCTCACCATCTATCAAGCATTCTGTTTGAATAGCTTCTTTAGTTCTTTTGGATAGGATACTGAAAATGCAGCAACCGGAGAGTAATAAAATGACAGAGAACCTTGAGGTGCACCATTCAAAAAGCTAGCTCAAAGGATGGAAGTGCCCAAAGCCTCTCTTAACAAATGGACCCTAACATTCCACCTCGCTCCGCAGTCCCGGCGCCCACGCGGACTGGCTTTGCGCTAGTCTTTTTACTAGCCCCTTAACAAATGGACCCTAACATTCCACCTCGCTCCGCAGTCCCGGCGCCCACGCGGACTGGCTTTGCGCTAGTCTTTTTACTAGCCCCGGGTGAACGCTACAATGCCGGCGTTACCACCCGCGCCGCTCGATTGTAACCGGGAGACATAGTGAAAGGCTCTGATACCATTTGATAAAGAACCTTGAGATGCACCACCCCAAAAGCTAGCTCAAAGGGTGAGAGTACTCAAGGTCTTATAAACCCCACATTCGTTGCTCATACAACCAATGTGGGACTCCAAGTCCCATATCTTGTAAATGGATCCTAACATAAAACTTTGAAAGTCTGCGAGGGAGATTAAAAGATTGTCAGGAATAACCTCCCCCAATGTATAAATTGGGGGAAAAAACATAATATACCCTGTCCTAGTCAAACTTTCAAACTCAGGCACAAAGAAACAAGGAATCTTAACAGGAGCATACAGGTTTTTTCAGCCTTAAAGAAAGAAAGAAAGATAGATTAAGCTGCTTGTGTACTGCACTTAGTTTTATTCTGATAATGTCCATCAGTCCTGGTTGAGAAACTGACATTTGATAATTTGATGAAAAAGGCACAAAACTATCCATATTATTAAAATTCCAAATGAAAATATGTGTGCTGATTTATGCTCTCTGCTATAAACACATTTGCAACGCACACAAGCATATACATGCATGTGCATGCAACACAGACGAATCAAATATGCAAAGTCATGACGACTACCGCTACCCCACTGCCCCATGGGGTATTATTATTCCCATTGTATTAAAATTATTTATGGGCCATCTTTATAGTTTTGACAAAATAAATTAAAATTACATATTGACTTATTATTCATTTAGGGGTTTTAGTGTCATTGAGGTTTTTTTTTATTTTATTTTTTACTTTCCATTCTTGCCTTAATTTTACTATACCAAACATAAGGATGAAGCTGATCATACCAAACATGACAACAATGATTCCATCTCACGCATTATTTTCATTCAAAAGTCATTCCTACAACTAAACATGAACTGAAGACCTAGAATTAACTATACATGGATGCTTGCTTTCACAGACACAATTTCAATAAGTCATATTGCCCAAGTTCAAAGATTCCACTAATAAAACAGATATCTCATAGATAACTGATATAATCCTCACTCAAGAAAGAAACTTACAGATAGAGGACGCTGAAATGTACTAGCAACATAGGAAGGAATGGTCATGAGAACAGTTTTGCTCTGCAAAGAAACCACTCCTTCTGGTGTTCCATAAGTCAAGTTGTATTCTCCACTTTTTAAACTACTAATACTTAAAAGCTTCCAAGATAAACTATGTTACCTACGCTGCCAACAGGAACGCAATGCACAAGGATCATCAATCCTGAAAATAGTGGTAAATCAACTAGAACATTAGTATAAGGAAACACAGAGTACCTTGCAGAAATTGCATCTGACAACATGGTAAGCCCTTTGTTTTTGTTTTGAAGCTCTATTTCTCTCCTATAATGCTTGCCACCAATAATGCTACCACCATTTTGCACCAGCCTCCAAACTTTCCCAAATGCTGCTTTCATACTTAAATTTGAAGGAACACCTGTATATGACAAAAATCAGGTACGCCATAGGATTTCCAAAGAACAAAAGCTTAACATGAACAACAAAAAATTCGTAATAGGAAAATTCATAATATGGAGAAAAGCTACATCAGGAAAGCATTTTGCACTAGAACCTTTTCAGCAAGTCTATGTCCAATTGTTCGACTATTTTTTTAATTAATTTAAGAATTATATTATATTTTTTTAATTAAACCGAACTCCACCATAAATAATCACATAAACTGAACTATTTTTTTAATTAATTTAAGAATTATATTATATTTTCAAATCGGTTCAACTCACATAACCAAACCACTTTATTGGTTTAGTAAGAATGTTCGATCCCATTTTATGCCAAACTGAATCATTCCCATAATTAGGGATGTAAAAAATAATAATATAAATTGATTCGAAACATGAACCAAATTCAATCGTATAATAAATAATTGGATTTTTTCTAAACCTATAATTAAGAATCAAATTATATTTTGAACCAATTTAAGCAAATCACTTTATCAGTTTGACATATATAAAAAATCGAACTGGACTGAAGCCCACCCCTAGTATTGCCACCAATGACAATGAAGCAAGTATGTAGTAGCTATATGTACTACTAGTGCTAGGTTTTAATTTCTGTTTATGATTTTATCTCAATCAGGTCGTGGTAAGCCATCAAGAAATTGTTTGATTCTGCGGTGCTATTCACTTAAATTATACTCCATCCGTTTTAAAATAATCATCCCTTTAAAAATTATTCTCACGTTTAGAATTCTTGAAGGCTTAAAGTGTACATAGTCTAAGTTAATATGTAAATTATCCAAGAGTTGTTGGTCACACTGAGGATTTGACCTCAATGAGTTCCAGAGTCAGGGTTCTTAAGAAAGGTGAAGGAGAAGCTCAAACCCAAAAAACAATTAACATTTTATAATCAAAAAACGATTTTCTCCATTAAATTTTTGGCTTTGCAATCCTTATGTCACAGGACCGGAAGCGTTTTACCTACGGACCCAAATAAATGTGGGGTCCACACTTATCTATTTTTCCTTTACTTTTTTTACTAGGACCCATGAACTGTTTTTTCAGTAGTGACTGGAGGAATCGTTTCCTGTCACATAATACTTATAAATTTCTTAAATTTTTTATAATCAAGACATTATAAAGAGAGTTAGGGTTATGGCGGTTTGAATGAGTTAGTAAAAAAAAAAGCCCTTATTTATTTTAGAAGTGATTTTCATAAGGAAAAAGTATTTCTCCAATCATCAGAGATAAAATTATCTCCAATAAGTTCAAAACGACGTTATTTTGGAATTATAAAATTAAAAAAATTATAATAATAAAGACTAATATAATCCTGCAATATATTATATTTACAAAAACACCTTGATTTCTGTCCCAAAATGATGTTGTTTTGAGCTCACCGAAAATAACTTATCTCTATTGATCGAGAAATCCTTTATCCTTTTTATAAATGCTAAAACTATTTAGATTTTTAAAAAAAGGTTTTATAAGAGTTATGTTATAGGAAAAATGATTGTGTTATGTTATAGAGATTCGTTTTGCATGCTATAGTTTTTTTTTTCTTTAAAACATGCGGGTCCCACAAAATGTTGTGTGTGTAGAAAAAATTTTGTGATCATGTTAAATGATGAATGCAAACCCTTTAAAAAAATATTTGACTTTTGATATTTAATTTGTTTAGTAGCTAAAATTTTTAGCTTAATAAAAAAATAAATTTTTGATTAAAATAGATATCCAAACAGATTTTGTAGTGAGTTTTTTTTAAAAAAAAAAAAAATATTCCTCGTAATAAAAACATTAAACAATGTTAGAGAATGTATTTGGAAATTCAGAAGAAAAATAAAATGAAGGACAATCAGTAATGCTGTTGTGGTGTCAGGGACTTTATCTGTCATTTTCAAAGTGGGGTTTTGCATTGTCCTCGTTTTCCTATTCACCCCTTCAAATTATTGAATGCATAAAGTACAGACATGAACACACCCGGCCACGTGAATCTAACGTGAGTTTCACGTGAATGTGGGAGATTACTCACATTTCTGCTCCTAAGATTGACGAAAATCTGATGTACCTGAGGGAAAGGGAGAGAGGGTGTGGCTCTGTCAATGCCACGACCCCAACTAACATAGATGCTGCGCACTTGGTGGAGGGTCCTCTAACTCTAAGCAACCCTACAAACCCCACCAAACTTTTGATTCCGTATAGTGGGGTTTCCTTTGGATGTGACTCTCTACAACAATCCTTCAAGATATCACTCATAACTCTCAATAAGTAAAATAGTAAGAGCGATAATATTCTTATTATCAATTTTTTTTATTATTAATTTATTATCTATTTAATTATTATTGAATAAAAAAGAAATAATGTTAAAAAGTTTTTGAAAAAAAAAGAAAATATTGATACAATGATAATTAGATAAGTAGTGATTTGATAGTAGAAAATTTTAGTTGTTTGAATATTCCTCAAATACTAAAATCCATGAATGATATATATATAGTACCTGTTTAGATCCTCTTTTTTAAGCTAGAAGCTACTTATAAGCATAAGCTAGGTCAAACAGATTTTGGAAAAAGCTCTTATAATGAAAAGCTCTTTTTTTATAACGAAGAAAAAAACTGAAAATTAAAAGGAGCTTTTTTTTTAAGCTCTTATCTGTTTTTCTTGAATTGTGTGTTTTTTTTTTTAAATAAAGAGTTATAAAGATAGAGAAAGATAAATTTCTTGAAATATGTACTTTTAATTAACTTTTAAGCTAAAACTTTTATGTGATTACCAAACAGCTTTTAGCTTCTTTTTTTAAGCATTTTTTTTTAACTTTAGCTTATAAGTAACTTCTAAATTAAAAGAAGAGGATCCAATGTTGGGCACCTATAGATAGATCTTATCCTTCATTATATATGTTTGTTCAGAAATAAATGTCGTGTGGTTCCTAAAACGAGTGTCCTCACTCACATAAGAAAAACTACTTCACAAGATCACTCAGCCTGGGTAAGTAATTAATATGTGTATTTGAATATCTTGTTTTGATTTTTAGGTTGGTCAGTCATTTTCTGAGAGAGATACAAACAACCTAATTTGTCTGATCTATCGTTAGAATAAAAATGTGGAGAGCAAGGGAATTAAGATGCTGGTCCACCTCCTCTCTTGATACCTAACTCTATAAAATGACAAATGTCACTGCATGAAATCTGTGGACACCTTTTGTGAGAATCCCTGATATTTTAGTTCTTGATATATACATACCTAACACGTATATGATTCAATGACTGAGAAGATGCTTGACTCCACCCATCCAGGGATGAATGATCAAAGCTGCTCCCATCTAGCATCCATGTATGTTAACTACTTTTTTGCTTGCTGCATTCCAATTCAAGTGTGTTTCGTCCTGTTATCTTTTCCTTTCTTTACTTTCTAATCAAAATTGAGTTTGTGGTTTTATTTCAGTTATGGCAAGGATTTCCTTGAGCTTGTATGGGGAAATGGTCAAATTCTTGTACAAGGAGGTTCATCAAGCAGAACACGAAAGACTCCTTCGTGCACTGAGGATTCAAAAAACCCTTCACGTAAAGAGGGAGCAATAGATGAAGATGCCAGCATTGCAAAAAGAACTCAAAGGGATTCTGACCTGAGCTCTTCAAATCAAAGCAATGGCCAAGATTCCCAAAGCAAGAGCTCCTCTAAGCTTAATGAAGAATCTGCATACTTAACACCAATAAAAGATTCTAAGCTCATTGCGGGAGCTACAAGTAATAGTCACTTGTGCACATACTCCTCACAACAGAGCTTACATTCAGCTCCACTCAAGAAACCAAGAATGGAATCAAGCCAAACACCAGCAACAAACTCACAGAAACAGTACTTGGGATGTGATCAAAGAACACGAAAGGTGAACTTCGCAAACTTTTTAATACCAGCAGTCTTTCTTAAACCCATTTATGAGGGAAACAATGCAAGAGTGGAAGAAATTGAAGTGGGAAAGGTTGAGAAAGCAGAAGCTGCTTCTACTAGTAGTAAAGATCTTGATCATTCCACACTGATTGAATCGGCTAAAGGATCACAAGGTCTCACAGGATTTCAAGAGCAAACATCTTTAACTGCTAACAAATCGAACCCAGCTTTGCTTGTTGAAAGAAGCATGGAACCACCCTTTGACGAGCACTCTGAAGCTGCTGGCCATAACTGTGCCCTTGGAAATAAAACCTCAAGCTCAGAAGCAGTTAAAGGAAGGGGAAAAGCTAATACTAACTTGTGTAGTGAACCCTTCCTAGCATCTTCTTCTGTATGCTCGCTTGGAGCCTCAAACGATCCAAACTTTGGTAGTAGGAAACATGAGGATACTGATGGTTCAACATATTTAAGTGATGTAAGTAGAATCCTAGACTATATTATTACCCTCTTCCGCTCTTCGTAGTTATCATCATTATCAGAAACATGGATTGGTTTGATGCAGAGTGATGAAGAACCGGAAGAAGATATGGTAAAGCAAATGCCAGTTCGGCAGGGTAACAGAATCAAAAGAAGCAGGAATCCTGAGATTCATAACTTAACTGAAAGGGTGAGGAAACATGAAGAGATTTAAAAAGATGAAGAGCTTGTATCTATGTTAATTCCATCTAACTGATAGTTGTGGATGTTTGCAGAAGCGGAGAGATAAAATCAACAAGAAGATGCGTACATTGCAAGATCTCATACCTAATTGCAATAAGGTGTGTGTGTAGTGTGAGTGTGTTGCCAGCTTTTTCATTTTATATCTAACTTTTCTGATAAGACCTTCTTGCACTTGTTTTAATTCTATACTTTTTTTCCTTTTATGTCTCTTAGGTGGACAAAGCTTCAATGCTTGACGATGCTATCCAATATCTTAAGACCCTCAAGCTTCACTTACAGGTAAAATTTAGGTCCTTGATTTTCTGTTTGTCAAATTGTGTTTATGGACTTGGTCTTTTAAAAATTGGATGCCTTAAGCATAGTGCTATGATGCAGATTATGTCAATGGGTAGTGGGCTTTGTATGCCACTTATGATGTTACCTACCACCGCACATCATATTAATGCGCCAAATTTGCCACAGATGATGGGAGTTGGAATGGGTTTCAGGCCAGGCACAGGAATCCCTTGCAATCCAACACAGTTCCCTATTCCACCACAGTCTGGTATCACAGATAATGGACTTCAAATGTTTGGTTTCTCCAACCAAATACCATTCATGCCAATTCCTTATGCACCTTTCATTCCTAGTAATGGAAACTCTTCTACAGAACCTCTTTTGCCAACCAACCTGGCTGAGCATCTAGCTAATTCAGTCCCCAAGAACTCAAATCTTCACGCAAAGGCTGAATGTGCAACAAAGCAAGCACGGAATTACGTTTCCCTTCACCATAGCATTAGCCATCCCTTTGGTTTTCCCACAACAACAGAGGAAAAAATGAAAATGGATTGGTAGAGAAAACTAGAATGAGGAAAGAAAGATTAAACATGTTAAAGGCGAGTGTAAAGTTGGTTTGCACTTTACAGAACGATAGTAGGATTTGATCATAGATTCTCAGCAGCAGATTCTGATAGTTCACACTTTGTTGCTTTTTTACTTTGATTTACTGATGAAAATGATCGATAGAAAAAACCATGAGTTATAAAAATTAATAATCATCGAATATCATTAATTAATATTAAGATTTATAAAAACTAAAAAGATGTCGTGTTAAGCAATGTAAGCTTGTAAATTGTTATATTAGAAAGGGAATTGTTACTTTCAACCTATTTAATTACTATTGAATCATGGAAAGAATGTTGAAAAGTTCATGAAAAAAAAAAAAATATTGATGCAATGACAATTAAATAGGTAGCGGGTGTAATGAGTTTTTTAGCAGTAAGAATATTTCCCTTCTTAATGCGCAAGGTAAATATTACAGGACATCGCGTTGCATCTATTACGATTTTTAATGTAGTTCATTTATTTACTGAGTTTGATTCTTGTTGTCTCTTCGTTTTTTACTTTTCTCATAATTTCTGCCTCGTTCTGTAACTTACAAAAAAATTTAAATTACTTGAAAGTTTTGCAGCACAAACAGCATTTATAGCATGTGTAAGGATATTTTAACTACCAAATTTTTTTACTATTAACTTACTACCCATCACATCACCATTGGATTAAAGAGAGAGAATGTTAAAAAGTTTTTGAAGGAAGAGAAAATATTAATCTAATAGTGATTAGATAGGTAGTAAATTAGTAGTGAAAAATTTTGATAGCGAGAATATCTCTCATCTTAAACCATTTACATTTTAAGGATAAAATGAAAAAAAAAAAAAAAACAATATTTTATAAGACTTCTCAGTCTTAGAAAGTTAGAAGGAATAAAATATCTATTCATTTCTTAATAATTTTTTTTTTAAAAAAATCTTTCTATATAACCACACGCACCCCACACACAAAAGTAGCGACCAAACCAATGTTAAATGATTGATGCCTTCACTTATGGTAAGGGTACTTACAATAAGTAATATTTTTTTATTTTTTTTTAAGGTTACAAGGAATTGAACACAGCACCCTACACTACACACACTCCTAACACACACCCACTATAAGTAATACTTTATCATAGAGTCTGAGCTTATATATTAATTCAAAATCTTAAGAATTTTTTTTTTTTTTTTTACGATCCTCACTTAATTCATTTTTTAACAATATGGGATTTCGTCACTCACATTTGATATTCCAATATTCCCTCTAAGTGTAAGTCTCAAGCCCAACATTCATTCCTCTTGGACAAAAGCTTATTTGAGTATTTTGTGGGATTACTCCTAAAAGTATAAATAGGTTGGATCAGACTAGATTTTAGTCTAAATATATCAAATTTATATAAAATATTTTTAGTTTAATTTAACCTATTAACTTAGTATAATCTAAATTATAGGCTCGATTTGTCCTATATTAAAACAAATCAAAAGGCCCAACCTAGAACTCTTAGCCTATCAAACATTCAATACCTATCAAGAATTAAAAATGAAATAAATAAAATAATATTATTTTAATAATTTAAAATTTAAAATTATTAAAAAAATTATTTAATTAAAATAAAAAATACAATATAAGTCAACCTATAGGCTTGTAAGTCAGGTCTTATAAAAGTAGGTCTATGACTTATTTTCTAAACAAATCTTTTTTAAGAGTTGAGTATGTTTTATTTTACTGAATATATTAGGTTAGATCTAACCTAACATGGGTTAGGTTGTAAGCCCTTGATAAATTGTTTGACTCATTTAACCCCCTAATTACACCAAACACCTCTTTTCACAACGTGAGTTTTGGGAAATAGTAAGCTTGACGGGCACCAATCACCATCTCCAAATACTCACTATAACCAAACACTTACCTAGCCTAATTGAAGCACAACCAAACTATTGGCTCTGATAAGTAAGGGAAGAACTATCATAAATGGGTTAAACAACAAACTATCACAACAGTTGGGTCCAATATTATATCTTAACTCAAAATCTTAGGCATAATTCCATGAATGCTTCTATTTATATAATTTTCACTTAGTCCATTCCTAACTAAGGTGAGACTTCACCACTCAAATATTTTCTATTTATATTATTTTCATTTAGTTCATTCCTAACTAATGTGAGATTTTACCACTCAAATCCCATATCTTGCTTATATTAGTAAAGAGGTTTTTTTGGAGTGAAAATTAACTCATTACTAGCAAATTAACTCATCACTAGTTAAAATTAAAGTCAAGATCATTGTATATCAATATAAATTATACTCTCAAGATCATTGTATATCAATGTAAATTATACTCTCAATTTTAATTCTTATTCTTATTTATATCCAACGGCTTTAATTTATTTAATATATAAGTCATTAGATACAAACGAATTGATGATTAAGATTGAATATAAAATTTCTTATTCTTATACTAATATAAATTGATCTTTGCCCAACTAATTAATGTCGGTGAAACTTTTAATGTATATATTTGTTTAAAAGATAACATGTATTTTGATTAATCAAAGAGTCTGTTTGAATTTTTTTTCCATACTCCAAAGGTTTTAAAAATATGAATGATTGGAGATTTACGCGCAACACTAACTGTACACCTTTTGAAATGCACAAACATAATCATCACATGCATATTAACTAATAATCAAACCATTGGTCATTTATGTACCCAAAACAAAAACAAGGGCCAGTTTGCCAGAAATAAAGCACAACAACCATAATTTTCACTTTCTGACTTACGCAGCTTCCATTTCTAAATTTGCTGTCTTCTTTTCTCCTTCTGAGACCTGGGCGACTCTTAGCTTCCCAGCCGGTCCATCTGCAAGCTTGAGATTTGAGAAAGTTTCAATAATAAAATCAGTGGCTTCCGAAGATGCTTTTCCTTCTGCACTGGTAATCGTCTTCACTGGTTCAGGAACTTGAGCATCTTTCCCAACAGCAAGCTCCAACTTCTTGAATTCCTCTTCAATATCTTCATCCTCAATATCAGTGTAAGATGGAGTTTGTTCTGCAGTTGCCAGAAAGTAACAGCTTAAAAATTAAATCCTAATTATTGACGTCAGACACAAAACATTATCACCATCCAGAAATCCCCTCAAGTTCAATATCTCATACAAGCCATTTCAATTTAAAAGGTGCTAAAGCACAATCCAAATACGTGCCACAAAAAATATGAGAAAATATACCTAGCGCCTTCTCAACTTCCTTATGTGAATCAATGCTCTCTTGGAGATCTATTAAACAAAGATCAACATCTTCGACACTGATCTTATTTTCTTTAATTGCCCGGGCTCCAATCTGCATAGCTTCAGAAACCTGCAAACAAACAATGGATCACCATATATAACAAATACAATCTGCAGTTCAATAGAATCTTAAGATTCTGATATAAACTAATCAATTCAATCTGATATTTAAAGTTTACCTTTTTCGTTGACTCAGCATCAGAAATAATGCCAAGTACTTCCTCTACTCTGTTCAAAAGTGATGAACATTTTTCTCTACTCTGGGTGACCAACTTCAGCTCCCTTGTATACCTAAGGGCCAATTTTCTGTTGCCAGAATGTAGAGATGCCAATGCTGATTTTCTTGACCTAATAGAATCAATATGTGAGGCAACTTAACTTTTTTGACTTTTTGAGCAAATAGTGTATAATGAAAATTACTGATGCTTTTGAATTTTGATTGTTAATACCATTCCTCTTGTGCTAAATATGTGTAAGTATAACCAATCAAATCACTTTTTAGTCAAATTCTTGTCATTTAATCCATGTTCTAAAACCAACAGATTATCACCACGGGTCCAAAATTCGAATAGGTGAAAAAGTCCATGTCAGTGGTCATGTGACTGTAATACAAAAGTATAACATCATATGAATGAGGATCAAACATGAAGGCTATCATACCCTGCATATCAACACTGACTAAGTATGTTCTTGGATTAGCTTAATTTGTTTACAAAACTTATAATCAAAATCCTATTCAGAGAACTTTTGAAGAAAAAAAGAAAAGCGACTTTCCCTTAAATCTCAATCAAAACCAGACATCCACTAAGATAAAATATAATAATCTACTAAGAAATAAGAAAAGGAAAATAGTTCAGCATATCAGGGAAGACTTTCTTTTATTTTCTCTTGAAACTTTGTTCACTCACTATTTAATCATTTAGAATTCCCCTCAAGATACATAAACAAGTATATAAAGAATCATAAAATAAACTTACAATTCACAACGCCTGTCAATTGCATCTAGTTGTTGCTGAAGCTTCTCGGTTGTCCAAATTAAGTACAGTACATCACAATCTAAATTAGAGATACTGGATAACACTGCTCCTGAGAGAGAAATTTTTACCCCCTGCAAATTAAAAGACAAGTATTTAAGGCATAAAAAACAAATCAGTATTGTTAATTCCTGCCCGCAGTAAGAGAACAATCTTGGACTTGGACAGCATTAGTAATATCAAGAATTTTTATAGCTTCTATTAATTTACCAGAAATGTCAAAAGTTATTTGATGTCCAATCCAAGTCTCACATTTAAAGAAAAAATATCTTGCCTGAGATAGAATACCAAACAAAGGCATTTTTTTTATGATTCGATACCTCTACAAATTCTTTCTTATGCACTGACAGATACTGTGCTGTTCTACACCCCGACAGATACCTCAAGATTGCAGATGCTTCATCCGGCCCTCCACATATGTCCCGGAATTTCTTCATTGTGATGATACAAGATGAATTCCAGTGACTTTCAGATAGATGTTTGATGATATCAGCAGCTTTATCCTAGATATCAAGAAACATAACTATAATTTGAGTTAGAGTAATGAAACCATCTAGCAAATCAAACAAAGGAAAATTCAACCTAACTCCTGCATAACTTAATTGACTTGCTGGCACTGGCATTGCATGGAAGCATATATGAACTGAATGATTTTGGATGCATCCAACTTAAATAGCAGCAATTCACGAGCAACTAAAAGGATGAACAATTACCTTAAGCAGAGTAGTTACAATCACACATTCTTCAGCCATAATATCTGGAGTTGCTGGTCTCGTTATTAAGTTGCTCACTTTTCTAAATAGTTGGGAGAATCGTCCAGCGGTTGGATCCACGAGATCCACAGTTCTTGTGATGTCACCTTCATTATACATTAGAAACTGGAAAATGTAAAGACAAAAACAAACAACTGATTTTGGGTACAAAAATTCTAAGTTCTACACACACACACCAAAAAAATAAAAAATAAAATAAAATGCCAAGAGACTCACCAGAACATGGTCAAGACACAAAGGGGTTAACCCTCCTCGATTAAACCAATCATTCTTCACCTGGGAAGGTCGAATAAGGAGGAGGCGAAAATGGGTGGCGATTTTGATTATCAAATCTCTCCAGAACAAGAAGCTCGCTTCCCAATCACATCTTTGACCCGAAAACGCTTTGAATCGAGCAACGGAAACCACTTCGTCTTCCCAATCAGCAACTTCCTTTGCAATGAAATCCCTAACCCTCACATTCATCCCCGAATCCATTAATCACTTCCCTAATCCCCTAATTCCGTAAACCTAAACCCTTTCTCCAAGTAATATCAATTTGTTCTTCAAAATTATTTTACATACGTTTCGAAAATAATTATTGAAAAAGCCCCATCATTACATTACAACAGTATTGCTCGAAAACCTAGAATCACAACAGTATCCATAATATATGAGGATGTCCTTTGTTGAATGAAATAAAAAAATTGAAAAATTAATTCTTTTTATAAATTTTTACGTTTTTTTTATACTTCCCCAATTAGACTTACGAAAAAATTCTCTATTAACTGTAACTAACTAACTATTAACCAACCTTCTCCCTCACAATTAAATTAGGATAAGATATAGACGAAAGATATTGTAACAATCAAGTTGTGTTGCTATCAATCAATCTCACCGTTAGATTGATTATGTTGATCCAACAGTTATATTTATTTTCATCTTTGTATGATCATGATTTCTCAAATTTAATACTTTATATTTATTTCCACCTTTGTATGCTTATGATTTTTCATATTTAATGTTTTCACTTTAAATATGGGGAATCATAATCATACAAAGATGAAAATAAATATAACCATTGAATCAACATAATTAATGTAACAGTGAGATTGATTGGTAGTAACATGATAGTAACACAACTTGGTTGTTACAATATATTTTCCTAAAATATATATATAAAAAAATTCCTCCAATGGTAAATCATGTGCAAAAATCTTCAATACTTTGAAATTCACCCTCAAGATTTCAAGAATTAACTAAATAGTATATAATAGTACACGATCGGTGTTATTTTTACGATCTAAAAATTTTACAATTTTTTTTTTTTTTTTATGTTTGGCGATCCAACAGTTATGATTTATTAAAAATCATAATTAATTAACAAATATGATTAAATTATAAAATGTTCGAAATAAACGGTAAAAAAAATAAGTTATAACAAGTTATAAAGTTTTTAAATTGTAAAAACAATCCTCCTCCTCCTAGTATATATTAACCACATTGTGCTTATGCATAAAACCCATTATAAAGATCAATATGCATAGTTTTGTAAAATTAAAATTTGTTTTAATAAGTTAAAATATATGAAGTTTTTTGCAGATGAATCATATTTGGAATAAATTTCTTATTTTTTGTCTTTCAAATTATAATAGCTATCTTCTGCCGATTTATGTTTTAAATGATAAGTGGAAATTATAAAATCATGAAATCTCTACTTGTTATGTTAGAGGTTACAAATTTTTTGTACAGTGACTTACTCTTATATTTGCAAAGAAACTGTCTTGAACTCGAATTCATGAACTCTGCTACACCGTTGATCCGGATTTGCCTCGTTCATTCATATTAATTATGTTTTTAAGGAGAAAAAAAGTGTTTTAAAAATATTAACCTATCTATTTTTTTAGTCTCGCTTTAAATTGGTCTCACATAAACATGATAGGATTACAAATTAGTTTATAAACAAATCGATTTTAATTACTAAAATACATTGGAGGACTCTGCAATAATTTAATACAACTGACAAAATGGCCAAACAAAAAGGTTATTCGTTAATCACCACCAAAAAAAAGAAAAGGTTATTCGTTTATCTTAAGCAATAAGCATGTAACCTGATTAGACTTGTTTAGGCCCGTTTAAGAAATTTTTTTGGCCCATTTATGTCTTGATTCCAAAGGAGTGATTCCCCAAAGCATGAGTTCAAGTCCTCCTGAATTAGTCGTAGGCATCCCTTCATGGAGATCACCTACCTCTTTATGAGCAATGTCAATGAGTCCTCTAGATATCTTTTCATTGGCCCAGTTTGGTAACACGAGGAAGATCTCTCTAACTTGTGAGTCAGAAAAACTCGAAGAAATAAATTTTACAAACAAATCAATACACTCATTACTCTAATTTTGACATGAAATTTACGTTAATGCTAATATATAATGATGTGTTAATTATTATATTTAAATCCCTTTAAACATGAATTTTTAAAATTTTAATGCATTATAAGTATAAATTGTTTTTTACACTTTTGTTCAATGATGTGTTATCAGATTATTTAATAAATTTAATTATATAAAAATCAAATTTACTAAATAATATAGTAATATATTATTATTTTTGATATGATTAAATTCATTACATATAAATATATCTTTTTTACACAAATAATACATTAAATAGATTTTTTAATTTATTCACGTGTTTATTGTTAATTAAATTTTTTAAAACTCATTACTAAAAATAAGTTTTTTTAGAACTAAACACTTGTCGATTCAGTTCTGTGGCCTCATTGGCTTTCTCTGATTTTTGGGCCCAAAATTCATTGGTACACCTTTAAAAACTACCAAGCACGTTTAGATATATATATATATATATATATATATATATATATATATATATATATATATATGTATATATATATATATCACTACTATAATCAAGCAGGCAAAAAAAATTAATTTATTATTTTTTAATAAAAAGTTACGAATAAGTAATCGTTTTGAAAAATATTACGAATCTATAATACTCAAACACGTCCACATGGGGCGTGACCCAGTGGAGAGACACGTCCATGTGGGGCGTGAGTGATGAAAGAGACACGCCCAGATGGGACGTGAGTTGAGAAAAAGGAAGACACGCCTAGAGAGGCGTGACCCAAAAGGGACACACGTCCATCTAAGGCGTGATCAGATACCTACAAAAATGACAACTTCCAACTTGTACAAGAAATCACATTTTCGTAAGCCACAATACCTTTCTGCATTGCTAAAGCTATTCAAGGAGTTGAAAAGGACAAAGATAAATTCTCTTTTGCATTCACGGTGGGTTTTCTAGAGTGCATTCATAATAAAATAAAGGCTTTGCATTCATAATAGAGAGAGCTGAATTGATGCTATTCAAGAAATCACCCTTAGGTGGCGTTTGGTTGAGGAGAAATTTTTATGAAAGATAGGAAAATGTGATTAGTAGGGAAATGGTTGAAAAATGAGTTTGATAGGAAAATGTAAAAAAAGTTGTTTGGTAGGAAAAAATTTACTGGGAAAATTAAGTATTTTTGTAAAATCTATGTTTGACTTTTGGTAAAATATTGATGGGAAAAAGATGTGATATTACAAAAATATCCTTATTTTTAAAAAAAGACAAAAAATCTTACTGCCAACGTCCATATGTTAAAAAAGGGACAAAGGCTGTCTTTGGATTTCATTTAGCCGTGTTCCTTTGAAAAACCCACCTTGTAGAATGCTTTCTGCACAGTACAGAAACCTAGCAAAAGGGCAGAAAATTGAAAATCATATGTATCGTAAATGCCTGGGATTTCAGTGATTTCTCCGTGAACCAAACGCATGATTTTCAAAATGCTATCTTCATTTGCATAGGATTTCTTCAAAAACCCACCAACCAAACACCACCTTATTGTTGCTAAGTGCATTCATAATAAAATAAAAAGCTTTGCTAAGGGAGTTTTTAGAGGAATCGGGGGTGGGTTTTCTAGAGTGAAGGCTTTGCAAAGTGAGGGAGCTGAATTGATGGGACTAGCAGGGTCAAATCGATTTGGTGTTTATCGTACTGATTTTGGTTGGGGAAGGCCTGCAAAGGTGGAGATAATATCAACGGATACAGGAGGTTTAAGCTTTGGCTTGACAGAGAGTAAAGATGGGAAAGGTGGGGTTGAAGTTGGGTAATACCCAGAAATGAAAGAGCGAAATAGAAAGTAAACGAAAAGCATCAAAATCAAGGACACGTCTTAGACGGGCTTTTGGGTCACGCCTCTTTTGGGCGTGTCTCCCATTTTTCCTGCTCACGCCTCTTATAGGCGTGTCTCTCCCATAGGTCACGTTTCACATGGGTGTGTTTCTTTCTACTGGGTCATGTCCCATGTGGACGTGTTTGAGTGCTATAAATTCATAATATTTTTTAAAATAGTTACTTATTCGTAATTTTTTATTAAAAAAGCAATAAATTAATTTTTTTTGTCTAACCAAGCAGGGAAAACTCATGCATGAGTGTAATGAGTAGATATGTATATCACTAATGTAATATATAAAGCAGGGAAAACTCATGCATGACTGCAACCAATGCTGCTGATGAGCGATGGAAATACTTGTAATTCACTATTGCGGGCTTATTTCGTTTGCGTGCCACTGCCATTGGAACTCTAGCCAGTCAGTCCCACTTGCTTTTTGCAAGAGTCTGAATAATCCCAAAAATATCAAAGTGCCAAATTGCTCATGTGCTTCCGCTTTTAATACATTAGTTAATTAATGGGTGTTGTTAACAATTGCCAGAAGAATAAAAGCATTCCATATTCTTTGCTAAGAGAATATAACATTACACATAATAAAATACAAATCAACAAAAGAGAAAGAGAGGATAAGAGAGACTTAAGCTATAAATTACGTATACCTAAAAACAATAAGTTATAAATTTGGTACAGATAGGAAGGGGGGGAAAAGGAGAGCGTAAGAAATCATTTGTCTAGTACCCTAATTAATTTTTTAAATTTCATTTTATTTTTATTGATGACCCACCATTGAACGATTGAGACTTTTTTAAATAAAAAAAAATATAATTAATTGAGTGATTAAAATATCACTGCATACATACATGAGTTGGTCCTAAGTAGCGTTCCGTTCTCTTCCTATGTACAACAGCGATGTTAAGGCGGATTATCTGGTCAATCATATTGGTTGATGACACTAAACCTCAAGTATGTGAAATTAAGTTACAGCCCATTAAGGTTAAAAAAAATATTCTCAGTATTATCAATTATGGATGTATGAACCATTAGATATATATCTTTTATTAAATATGAAAAAAAAAATATTTATGATTTCTCTAGCTTTGCAGTTATTTCTTTTCGTATCTCTATTTTTTTATTTTTAATAAGAGAATACCTACTTCAGTTACACTAAAAAATACGGAGAATGTTATATTTACAAATTTTTTGTTTACAAATTACATTACGTCTGACCAGTCATACTTTAATCAAGAATGTACGACCAGTCAAATTTAATGTAATTTGTAAAAAAAAATTGTAAATAAATTCTACCCAAAAAAATATACTATAAGGTTAAGGGCCCAGCTACATCTTCAAACTCGATATCAGTGATGTAATGTTGATTGACT